GGGTGGGTGAGGGACACCCCCCCCCCAGTGCACAAATTTTTGTGCACCAGGCCTCTAATATATATATATATATATATATATATATATATATAAATATGGGTAAGATGCGAAGCGTGCATCCTAAGAGAGGATTTGATTCCCACTGAGCCCCCGGGGTGAGATGATCAACACAGGAGCTTCTGAGGTGGAGGGGCTTGGCAGCGGTGGTTTCTTGTTCTCGGGGGAGACACCTTCAAACCAGAGAGGAGGAAGCCCGATTCCTTGGGGGGCCGCACGAATTCCCCTTCGGACATGGGTTATGTTGTTGCCGGGGCACTCACCCTGAATCTGGTTTACTGCACACTTGCCTTTGTGTTCCACACCCTGTACAACAGCAACTTTGCAGAGTGCCCTCTCGCACTCTGGGACCTCTCGGGGGATGTTGGAAAGCCAGTTTTGGCCCGATCCCCACAGGTCAGGCTGAGGGATCCCACCTGCCAAAAGGACCCCGGTCACTCTGCAGATGCCCTTTGAGCTGGGGAGGGACCAAGGGAGGTTGGCTCCAGGGCGTGTTCAGCCCATCTCGCCCAGTCCTGCCCCACTGGCCACCTTCTAATTAATTTCCTTTCAAAATGCAGGAATCTGTGCACTAGTATAATATATTTTTTGTTTCCAATAACTTTTTAATCAGAATGCTTAGAAAAAAAAAACACTTACTAACATATGATTGAGGGAAGTTGAGTGCATTCTTTCAAAATGGGACTAAAGCTTTGATTGCCCACTCCTGGAAGAACTCTGTGAGAGTAGGGCCTGGTCTGTCCTGTTGACAGATGTATCCCCATTGCATGGCACACAGTAGCTGCTCAGTGAATGCTTATTGCATGGATGGACCGACAGATAGATGGATGGATGGAAGGATGGATGGATGGATGAGCTCTCTTTTTTTGTATCCTTTTGTGAATAGACACTTTTATACCATAATTCCAGTTCCTGGAGCTGCTCTAGTTTCTCTAGGTTTTGCACTCTTTCACTATAGTTCCTGGAGATTCAAATTCTCTGCTTACTCTAAGGCAGTGGTTCTCAACCTTGGCTTCACATTAGAATCACCTGGGAATCTTTTTAAAATCCTGATTTCTGGGCCTCATCCTCTGGAAATTCTGTTTCGTTGTTACTAATGTTGTGGCCCCACCCCATAACAAAGAAACAGAACTTCCGGAGGATGAGGCCCGGAAATCAGAATTTTAAAAAGATTCCCAGGTGATTCTAATGTGCAGCAAGGTTGAGAACCACTGCTCTAAGGCAAAGAGTTGCTTACTAGTATTTAAGTGACAACATATCAAATAACAGAAAAGCTCTAATTGACAGAATTCTCCTGTTTGCAACCAATTGTTTCAGCATCTTGTGCTTCCACCTGGCTCTCAGCGGCTCACCTTTCTTCCAGATCACATGTGCTTTCCGAAGCTTCATTAGGAAAAGCTGGACGATGATGAAGAGAATGAAAATGAGGAAGGACACGAGCGTGAGCAGCAGTATGCCGCTTTTCCTCCTCACCAACCCGTCATACTGAGGATGTGCACCTATAAGGAAAATGAACGGATTTTAGATGGTTTGAAGGGTTTTGTTCACTGGGGAGTACACACAACCCTTCCAAAAGATAGTGTAGGCCCGTGGTTGGCAAACCGCGGCTCGTGAGCCACATGTGGCTCTTTGGTCCCTTCAGTGTGGCTCTTCCACAAAATACCATGTGCGGGCACACACATACAGTGCGATTGAAACTTTGTGGCCCATGCGCAGAAGTTGGTATTTTGTGGAAGAGCTAGTATTTTGTGGAAGAGCCACACTGAGGGGGCAAAGAGCCGCATGTGGCTCGTGAGCCACGGTTTGCCGAGCCGCAGTTTGCCGACCACTGGTAGGCTAATAGGCAGCTCAGATGAAAAGACAAAGAGCTTTACCCTGAAGGTAAAAAGATTCATACTCTTTACTCTCTGAAAGCAAGAATATAAACAAAGTAATTTTGTGGGATAATTTGGAAAAGGTTTTTAAGTTATATAGGTATTGAACTAGTTATTTTTCATTTCTAGGGAAAACATGTGAGAATATTGACTTAAATGATAGTCGGGATTCAAATTAGCTGTAAGAAATAATTTTTTTAGCAAAATGTGGTTTGGCAAGAGAGATTGTTAATTTTAAAAAAACTATGGAAATAAAATGAATATTTATTGATCTTGACTAGGTTGAATGTGGTCTTACATGAAGGCATTTGGAAATAAACTCGATGAGCCCATAATGGTCTTTCCTAAACCTAGAATTCTGATTCCATGGGCTCTAGCTTTGCTCAATGTCCTGGCCCCCTCAGCCCAACCAACAAGCAATAAGGAGTGTGGGCTCTGTGTGGAATGCCATGCCTGGGGCTGCAGCAGGCACACCCCTATCGTTCAGGGATAGTTCTCCATGTGTGTAAACAAATCTATCTATAAAACCCTAAGTGCAAATTGACCAAATGGTGGAATGACTGATCGCTATGATGTGCACTGACCACCAGGGGGCAGATGTTCAACACAGGAGCTCCCCCCAGCCTGCACGCCCCAATCAGCGGTGGGAGGCGGGGCCAGCGAGCGGGTGGTGCCAGGCTAGCCAAGGCAGGTGCGAATGAGTGCTGGCCAGGCCTGGGAACCCTACCTGTGCATGAATTTTGTGCACCAGGCCTCTAGTAGATTAATAAAAACAAAAAGAAGTAAGCCATCTATGCCAAAACGTAGATCCACACTTGTCACTATTATACTGTGTTCAGGGGTTCAGTCAGGAAAGTTCCAGTGAAGAAATTAACATTGAAAAGGGGTCAGGAGAGGAGTGGAGAGGTCTTTCCTTTCAGTGGGGCGAGTTAGGATAAGCGAGGGCTGGGCAATCTAAACGAGATGTTTTCAGAAAAACGTATTCTTGTCTGGACTTTACAGAGACAGAACTGCAGAGGGCGGAGGCAGAGTGCACTCCATGGAGGGGGAGGTTTAAGGCTCACGCTCAGGAGCCACAGAGGTTTCCTGAACACAGGTGTGTTTGGGTGGTAAGGGATGTTTGGATGGTAAGGTGCCCACAATGGATGATAGAAGGAAAGCTGAAGTGATAATACTGCATGCAGGAGATGATGAGGGTCAGGATCAAAATACCTGAAAGAAATGACTCAAAAGTCCTTGGACTCAAAAGTCCCTGGTTTCATATGTATGTGTATATACACACATACACACATGCATACACATGCACACACATGCATACACACACATGCATACACACGCACACACATGCATACACATGCACACATGCAAAAGTCCCTGGTTTCATATGTATGTGTATATACACACATACACACATGCATACACACGCACACACATGCATACACGCGCACATACATGCACACACACGCACAGACAGTGGTGAAGGAGGACACCGTAGTTTGGGCCTGAGCTGATTTTGTGGGAACAGAGGTTGCTCAGTGGTTAGCAATGTTGAATTTGAGGAGTTGGCAGGAAATTCAGCTTGAGAAGTGTAGGAAATGGGATGAAACAGGGACTAATGCTCAGGAGAATGTTCTGGAAATACAAGTACGAAATCTGCCTGGTGGCATAAGGAACAGTCTTGGGAATGGGTCAACTCTTTAAGTATTAAGGAAAGAACCAAGGATGGGGAAGTAAAATCAGAAACACGTCTACGTACAGGAAGTGACAGGAGGAAGGGAAGTCAGCTAATGGGCACGGGAGTGGCAGCAAACGCAACGGACCAGGGAGGCAGGAGGTAGCTAAGTCAGGGAGCAGTGATGTGAGCAACAGAAAAGTCAAGAGGAATGAGAACTGAAAAAACCATTGGACTTACTGGTTAAGAGGTTAAAATGTCAAGAGTTTATTCTAACAGTGGTGGGGACACTTACCAGTGGTCAAGTCGGGGTCTTGAGTGGTTTGTTCTTCCTCTTCCTTCTCCGTCGCTGATGTACTAAAATCTTCCATCACTGCAACTAAAGTGAGAGCAACACAGGACGTATGCCTCCGACTGTGCATATAGAGTGTGTACATCCACACAAGGTCATCCAAAAGCAGCAAACAGCTTTGGCGACCAAGTTTAGTGATGCTCACTAAGAACAATGAGGTCACTTCTGAACGACAGATGTCTTCCCCAAACAGAGGTGAACGGTCTGGCTTACTTTGCCTTATTTTCTGAAGGTTAATGTGTTTTGAACATTTGCTTTATACCAGGCCTTAGACTGAACATGTTATTTCTGACCACAGCTCTGGGGCAGCAGAGTTTTAGAAAATGTAAATAAATCGTCTAAAGTCCTGCAGCAAAGCAGTGGCAGAGTCAACATTGAAAGACAGAGCCCAACATAAAGCCGTTATGTGCACTTCCTTCCTGAACCAGGTCTATCGGTGAGAAGGCCCGTAGGATGCCTCCGGGAGACACCTGGACAGTGAAGGAGGGGTCCGAGTTCTATGGATGGGGAACCTGAGCCTGAAATGCACAAAGCAATGCCTTCATGTTAGAAGTGGGCTCGGCTGTCATTCAAACCTGTGTGTCCCCACCCCCAGGAGAGGGATGTACCAGGTGCCTTTGCTGGGGGAGACAGTTTGTAAAAGTCACAACAATCTTTTCCTGATTTTGTTGTTTCTCCTCCCTAGGTTTTTCCTATTGTAGTCTCTGGCTTTTTAGCCCATTACACAAGGGAATGAAACCACCTATTCTCCTACTGAAAATGGCTATTGTTAACAGTAAATAAAATTGTAAAAATTGAAAACTGAAAGGAGTTTTAGAAACCACATTTTTAAACTCTTATATATGAAAAGGCAGAGCAGAAAATTGAGTTGTTAAGTGGTGTCAGCCAATTTAAAGACAACTAGATTCTAAACATTTATAAAAATATTGGCTTATGAAGCAAATGATGTGGCTATTCCACTTCATATTTTCAATTTCCATTGTCCTTCAAAAAACTATATGGCACACAGTGTATTTATCAGTTTAAAACCCCCAAACATTTACTTTTAAATATGATTCAAGATGAGCAATTTTTAAGTGTGATCTGATACTCAGAAGTGTGCACGTGATGACGCTAGGAGAGCACTTATCCCACCAATCGCACTGTTACACACGCCTCTGAAGAGCAAGAGTCGGACTGGCAGCCCCTCTGGGCGAGGCTCACGGTGGCGCTCACCGCACCACGGCTGCCTGCATCCTGCCCCCGGTGGCTGCTACTGCACTTTCTCAGCACTGGCTGTTACCAGATGCTAAGCTGAGTGAGAGAAAACCTAACTGACATATGTGATCATTGTCCAGAGTCCACCAGTGAGTGGGCTCACTGTCTACAAATTATAATGTAGGCTTTCTGCATTCTTCTGCATTTATAGTTCAATTTTGTCATTAAAACTATCTGAGTTTTTGACAACCAAGTAAGTGACGAACTTTCAAAGGTGACTTTGTTACTTGATGATAAAAAACATCAAATCTCCAGGTCCTGCTCCTTTGCTCTTTGTTTTTGGTCTATTCTAGATGGAAAAGCAAAGAAACGAGTCTCCACAGCGGACATGCAAATGTCACAAGAGTGTGTGTGTGTGTGTGTGTGAGAGAGAGAGAGAGAGAGAGAGAGAGAGAGAGAGAGAAAGAGAGAAAGCTTACAAGGTGTTAGCTACTCTGAACCCTCAATGGTTAACTATGGCACTTCTCCAGTGACCACAAAGCTGGAGGGAGTCCTGAATGGTCTTGTTACAAAACAAAACAAAACAAAACAAAACAAAACAAAACAAACAAAACAAAACACCACTTTCTTAAAACTTATTACTGGAAAGCCGAGTTCCCAAAGAGGCAGGATTTTTAAAGTTGGAATGATTTCGACACTCACCAGTGCTAGCGGCCTGCGGGGCGTCTCCTGAGGACGAAGAGGTTTTCCCCGGGGCATCTGAGGCAGCCTCTTGACCAGTAACTAGAAAAGGGAAAAACAAAATTCTGCCACGATGAAGACCAAGCCTGCCCACAGCGTGCTCACTGCACAGGGTGGAGGATGTATTCGCCTGCTACCTGCTCGCGGAGGTTTTGCAGACGCCTCAGAGCTGCTGCTCTGTAGCTCGCGGCTGGTGTGTGGCCCTGTGGTCCCCGGCTGCCCAGCTCCCTGGCTTCCGGTGCAGCCTGTGACCTCTGGGGAGGAGCGTCTGGCACCCGGGGGAAAAGGGTCTCCGCCTCTCTCACTGCCGCCCCCTGCCTGTCCATCATCTACCCACTCACACACCTAGCCACTCGCTCTTAGGTGGCTTTGGATCAGGCTCAGACGGGTTGGGTTCCAATGCTTTACTTGCTTGTTGCTGAGTGAATCTGAATAAGATGCCTAATGTTTTGAATGCTCAGTTTCTTAATACTTACAATATGAAGATACTAAGTGCATTTACCTCATGGCGTTTTCTGTGAGAATTAATTCATGCCACATGTTTAGCACTATGCTGGCTATTTGTTAAGCACAGTGCTTACTAGATGGTAATTGTATAATATAAAACAGTATCTAGAAATGTTTCTAGAGGCCCGCTTAGCATAGCTCTGAGCTGTCTGTGACTAGGCCTGCACCCAAGGAGCGTATAAAAAGGTTTCTGTCAATTTGCAAATACTGATAGGTGACAAGGGTTATGTCCCTATGAAATCTATGAGAACTTCATTTAATCAAAGGGTTCCCTGGTTTTAGTGTCTTCTTGTTTTAATCAAACATTAAAATTTTTTGAAAACTGTTTTAAAAAAAAGCCTGAATTGCATACAAGAGCACCAAGAAAAGGAAGAAGAACCACTAGGGAAACACTAGAGAAATAGTGACATGGACTGAAGGTAAAACGAACTCGGTGACCACAAAGACACCAGAGAAAATCGAAGAAACAGGAGAGTTGCTGGCAAGGAAAAGAGGAAAATGCTTGAAAGTGAGGCAACTAGAAGTATTAGAAGAAAATGACAAGAAGAGCAACATATGAGAAATATTGGGGACACATAGGATAAAATGTATCCATGATTAAAATCTTCTAGAATAATGTATACTATGTAAAATTAGATAATTATATGTTTATGTACAAAACAGGGTATATATATGTATATATACACATTATATATGTTGTTGGATATATAATAATGCATGTATATATAAAAACCATATATACAGCCCTGACTGGTTTGGCTCAGTGGATAAAGCGTCGGCCTGCAGACTGAAGGGTCCCAGGTTCGATTCCAGTCAAGGGCATGTGCCTTGGTTTCGGGCACATCCCCAGGAGGGGGTGTGCAGGAGGCAGCTGATCGATGTTTCTCTCTCATCAATGTTTCTAACTCTCTATCCTCTCCCTTCCTCTCTGTAAAAAATCAATAAAATATACTTAAAAAATAAATTAAAAAATTAAAAACCATATATACATCCATAGGCAATATTTCTATATTTTCTATGTTGCATGCATCTATATCTATAGAACCTGTTTTATGCATGAATATATATAAACTGGAGTCCAAAAAAATAATAAAATAAACTGGAGTCCATAGATATTAAACTGGATTTATCCTCTCAGTTGGCAAGCTGCTGGACAAACCGCTTTAGAGGTCTGATGGTGGGACTGGAGACTTGTTCTGGTTGATCAGATGCCACAGCCCTCGGCTAGTCCATGCAGCACCACCAGCTGCCACGACTATTTAAATTCAAATTTAAAAAGATTAAATACTATTAAAAAGTTAGTTCCACAGTTGCTCAACTTTCTGTTTTTATCCCATCGTCAAATAAGCGGTAGGACATCAGGACTCCGCCTTTGGAGGCTGCGGAGATGAAGTCTGTCCCTGGGGGGTCAGCGCCGCTGCTGCTGTGCCTTCTGGCAGGTGAGGCTCCGAGCTGAGCTGCGAGCTGCGGCCGCGGGTGCTCTGGTTCAGAATCGCGCCTTTCAGGAGCATCAGCTCCATCCAGTCTCGCTTCTCCTCGTGACCTCCCGTGGCCCCGCCTGCCCTGTGCTCCCTCCGCCCGTGGGCGATGGGCGATGGACACGGAGGCCGAATATTTGAGTCAGGTCACAGCCCCGCCGCCGGCTGTGGGTCCGAGCCTCCCAAAGGCAGCCCCTCAAGGAGCGCTTGCGGTTTGATGGAAGCGAAGGTGGGGTGGGCGCGGTGGCGGCGAGGGATGCGGGGAGCCAGGGGCAGCTCCCAGGTCCGGGAGCAGGGGCCTTTGAGGGCACTGGCTTCCGGGGACCACAGAGGACGCTCCTGCTTCGCTGGCGCAGGGAGCGGTTCCCAGGCGCTTCCCCTGAGAGAGGCCTGGCCCACGGTGCGCGCTGGGACCACGCGGGACTCGGCTCCTCCTCAGAGGGTGCTTCTTGCTCAAAAGGTTCTCTCGCGTAAAAAGTATTTCTTCCACTTACGGCCAAGGAGTCGGAGACTAGAGATTCTGAAAATGGAAGCAACTCCTCTTCGCGTTGAACACTTGATGTTTTGTTGATTTTTATTGTTATCTTGTGTTTTGCTCAGAATATTAACATGATTAAACTAAAATCTTCCAAAACAGTTTTAACATCTAAAGAATAATCATGACAATGTCCCTAAGTGAGTGTCTCATGTTCACATCAAATGATACAGACACGTTAGATGGATTTCAGTTCGTATGATCTCCTTTAGGGTCAAATATAAAGGCGCGGTGCGGTTCATATGATCTCCCCGAAACAGGACTGCGCTACAACGAGGCACGTCCCGTGACTTGGCCGTCAGGATCAGGAAGCCAGCGTGGCACTGTGTGCATGTGACATCACAATCAGAAAGCCAGTGTGGCACTGTGAGCGTGTGACGTCACAATCAGAAAGCCAGCGTGGCAGTGTGCCTATGTGATGTCATGATCAGAAAGCCAACTGACACTGTGTGCATGTGACATCACAATCAGAAAGCCAGTGTGGCACTGTGAGCGTGTGACGTCACAATCAGAAAGCCAGCGTGGCATTGTGCCTATGTGATGTCATGATCAGAAAGCCAACTGAGCTTCGTTCCATTGGGTTTGGTAGTGTAACACTGAGGAAAGTTAAAATGATGACAGACGTCATCAGTTCTTACCCAGATCTTCAAACCGGAAGGAGACCACCAGCCGCCCCCCGCGGAGGCCCCTGTGGCGCACCACGCAGTCCACCGCGGAGCCCCGGCGCGCGGGGACCCTGAACGCGCTGCTGCTGTTCCAGGCCCTGCGGTCGCTGTCAAAGGCGTGCGAGGTGTCCCCTGCGGGCAACAGGCGCTGCGTGAGGCCAGGCCACAGGCTCCTAGTGGGTGTGGCTCTCAGAAACCAGGCCTGGCCCTCTTGCCAGTCTGTGAGACTCCTACCCTCGCTCTGACCACAGACCAGACCGCTGCTGCGTGTGCTTGGCCTCGCCACAGAGGGCAGCGGTGACCACAGCGGAGAGGCTCCTATCAACCCTCCCTTCCTGACAGCCCCCAGGAGTGCCTGCTGGGCGAGGACAGCTGGCCTCCTGCAGGACCCGGAGGGGCGAGCCTTCCACTGAATAAACAAGCGGCGCTGGAGCAGCTGGGCCAGCTGCTCGGGGCTCACTGGCAGCGGTTTCCCTGCGAGAAAGGGTCCTTCAGCTCTAAGAACCATGATGATGTCAAACCACGTGTAACGCTGCTGAAACAGCAACAAGCTCAAACCGTTTCTACATGTGACAGTTACCCGCTTCCATCAGCAGCTTGAGGCTTAGATTCTGTTACATAATTACTTACTGTCATCGAGGGTATGACACTGTTCTGCCCCGTATAAGAAAGGCCATGCAGCATGTTAAATGTGCTTTCAATGTTATGCCTAGTAAGAAGCTTATGCTCACAGGTAATAGCTCCATTTTGTCTTTTATTTTATAAAATGTTGTCAAATTTTAAGATGCTATTATAAACATCACATTTTAGATTTCTACCTTGCTTTGCACAAAACATCTACACTAATAAAAGACAAACATGCAAATTGACTTCGCTATGCCTTAAGCCACGCCCACCAGCCAATCAGAGCAACTATATACAAATTAACCCAACCAAGATGGCCGCCAGCAGCCACGGAGCTGGAGCGAGCAGGAGGCTTGGTTGCCCCAATGATGGAGGAAGCCAAGCTTCCCGCCTGCCATGGCCCAGCTCTGAGCTCCACTCAAAGCAACAAAGTTTCAATTATAGAAGATAAATAAACCCCAGATACCTGCTTTCAGCCGGCCATGGCCATGGAGATGGAGTGAGCAGGAGGCTTCCCTCCTGCCCGCCCTGGCTGGCTCTGAGCTCCTCTCAAGGCTACAAAGTTTCAATTATAGAAGGTAAATAAATCCCAGACAAAAAAAGAAAAAGAAAAAAAGAGAGGTGGGAGCTTCCGTAGTCGGGAGGGGGGGGGGGGGCTTGGCAGCCTGAAAAACGGCC